GATATATAGGCTCAAAGTGGACGATCCGGGTGTCGTTCTATTAGAGGTTTTACGGTATATATATAGGAAAAAATTCGTAACTTTCAGGTATCAGGATATTCCATTCAATCAAAAAACCGAAACGTTTGGCAGAGTTATCGTCAGAGCTCAGGAAAGATGGAATGTATCAAACAGATCATAGAAGATTGAAAGCTGCCCAATTCGCTGCAAAGACCAATAGTTCGATGATGCAAAAGATTTATTGAGAAGAAGGAACATATCTACAACAGCTAGCGAACGATACAACCTTTATTTTGAATCTGTTTGCAACAATGTCATGGAGTTCATTAGTGTCACACTTGCCCGAATCCAATATTGTAAAAAAAAAAGTGCTGCATTTCTCCTCACCAAAGTCTATCAAAATCTTCTAATCTCCCCCAAAAACTCCATTTTTCTTCTTTTCACTGATTCCTTGTTTTTTCTTTCTCATCATTTTTCCCTCTCACTGATTATTTCTCATCCTCTATCATTATTTTTTCCCCTCTTTGAAATAAGTACATGTGATCTCTTTTTCTTCCTTTTTCTTCCTTTTGGTTTCTGATAAGACATGTCGTGGGATCAGTCAAGTGAGTTTTTCTCACGACTTCCGGTCACACTTATATTTTTTTTGGATAGCCTTTCATTTTTTGATCTCCCCTATTTATCACAAGGTATGTACGCCTCATTTTACCAAGAAAACTACAATTTTTTGTGTTACTCGGAATGTCTAAAAAAATATGTTTTTTGTGTTCAATAAATATAGTTGTCTCGGATTTTCATTGCCTGGAGTAAATAGTTTATATACCACATAGTAATTTTGAGGCTAATTGCTCTAACAGAAGCCCAACCCTATATGTGTACGTTGAGCTCAATTATCTAAATTCTTATGGGAGATATCAAAAATCTGTTAAAGGTGGGGGGACATGAGAAAAATAATGTTGTCGAAATTTCGTTTAAATATGCTCCTCGAGGAGTTGAATTTGTCGAGGCGAGTGTTGAAGGTGCGGCGCCGCTACCGACTGAGCTACGCGTGCAAAGAGAAACCCGCTACCCGATTGCATACATAAAGGCGAGGGCGACTGCTGTACGCAGAGTGACATTAAGCGTTGTACACCGTTACGGTAGAATGCATACTCTGGCCCCAAAAATCCCCCGTAAAATCTCCTGTCCCCCCACCTTTAACTGAAATAACAGTGGTGATATTTTGAGTCAGATACTTGTATAAGTTGTCAATGAAACTTGTAATTTTTGTGAATTTCGAAAGTTACCGTAAACACTCTGATAGAAGACCCCCCGAACCGCCGACTTTGAGCTCATGTATCTCGATTTCTGTGAAAGATATCAAAAAGTGGTCAACTGAAAAATGTTTTTTACAATAACAAAACTATTTCGTCAGTTGACCAGTTTTTGATACCTTTAACATGAACCGAGATATATGGGCTCAAAGGTTACGTTACGGGTTGGATGATTTTCTATTAGAGTGTTTATGGTAAATGGTTTTTTTGTTGAAAAAAAATTGCGACGAGTGAATGAATATAAAATTCGGAATGTGGTTGTAACTGTTTTGAAACTGCAAAATTTTTTCACCGTTTTACTCATGTTACAAATTATCACACATTCTCTGTAGTTTTCGAGCATCGATCAACTGTCATATGTACAAAATAAAACAAACTGTTTGGAATGAGTTGGTTTTGCATACAGTTAGTACACCTAAACTTCTAAGAATTTTGAGAATACTTTTGATTGGCTCCGCCCACTTTGATCCGATCTACAAAATCGGTCGACCAAAAAATAATTTTTTTTTCTTTTTTGAGATAAAAGCGAAATCTTTTTTGGAGTATACATATTTTGTCGCTCCCCCCCCCCCCCAGGGGCGCAACCGTCTAATATATCTCCCAGACGTGCTTGTGTGATAGCACGGAGGGAGTAGACTCATTCCGCATCATTCAGTCGCTAACAAGGTTCACACGAAGCTACAACACCACCATTGACACTCTACAGTAACAACTTCCCAATCAGACGTGCCAAGCAATCTGCGTCTCTCAACATCACGTGCTCTCTCGCACCTACCGAAGAAGCGCTCCATCGCACAATGTTCTACAGGACCAGCGGCAAAGGAGACTCACCAACCGCCAAGCAGGAGCAGACACACTCTCTCATAACTCTATGCTCTCTCCCCTCCTTGTCCCTGCGTCTCTAACTTCCTCTATCACTGATCAATTGTCATCCTTTCCCGGATCAGTCGTCCCTCCGGCATTCGTGTAGAGAGGTCGCTCCTTCCTTCGCTCCCTTCTTGTCACCCCTATTCACTAACATCTACTGTATCCTTCTGGGATCTCTGTTGCCCAGCTAGTGTCAATAAACACGTTGTGAACCAATCCACTGTTAACTACCATCTCAACGGAAGGAGCCAAGGGTTGCATAGCAGTCACGGTTCGCTAGGAGTGTGGGCTCATCACCCCTCAATCCCTAACCGCGACATATTTTGTTATGTCAAGCATTTTTTTATGTTGAAACCAAAAAATAAGGGTCTCATCTTCCAATAGAAAACCTATGATTTTTGAAAAAAAATATGGAACATTTTTTCAAGATTCTCTAGCATGTGAAGATTTGTTTTCAGGAAGACATCAAAAATGTAAAATTATTCAAAAAGACTGGTTTTTACAAAAAATGTATGTTTTTCAAAGCTGAAAGCCCAAATGTATGATTGAGCTACAGTGAAATCAACACAAACTCATCGCTTAAATCATATTTTCCTAGAACAAGTTTTTCTCAAAATTTTTGATTATTTATTCAATTTTTGTGTTGATAATCAGTTACATTGTGATATTTTATCAAAATACTCGTGAACAGAGCACAAACTTCCGTTAGAATTTGCTCCAATATAGATGCATGTGTAAACTAGAGCTAGCTGATGTTTTGAACTGAAATAAAACGTAAATCAATCAAAAATGTTATTTAAATGTATAATTTGATTGATTTCCAGAAAAATTTTGAGAAAAAACTTGTTCTAAGAAAAAATGATTTAAGCGATGAGTTTTTGTTGATTTCACTGTAGCTGAATCAAGCATTTGGGCTTTCAGCTTTGAAAAACATACATTTTTTGTAAAAAACCAATCTCTTTGAATGATTTAACATTTTTGATGTCTTCCTGAAAACAAAGCTTCACATGCTAGAGAACCTTGAAAAAATGTTCCATATTTTTAGGAGGTCGTGTTCATAAAATGTTCGGAAAATTTTTTCGGACTTCAATAAAAACACGAAATTTTGTGTTTTTTAAATTGCTCATATGTTTATTCATCTTTCGTCAGAACATTTCAAGACTCTAACTCTTCTCGGAAAAAAGTTATAGTCATTGGAACCCGAATTTTGATTTTTGAGAGGTTTTCTTTGATAAATCTGAAAATAGAGTGAAATTTGCACCGGTCTTGCTTTTAAATAATGCAATTGTGGTGACAATGTTCAAATTCACAAAGAAAGTAGAACTTTAAAAAAACTGAAATTCAAAAAGAAAATTGGAAATTTCTCAGTAGTCAAAAAAATCAACATTTGGTCGAAATTCGTTGTTCCGGTCCTAGAATTCTTTGATCAGAACATAAGTTTCTAAAGCAAAATTTTATGAGAAATTCGAATCTGCAAAATAAATAATGGAAAAACATACCCAGGATAACGAAAAATTGGAAAATTCACAGAATTTCCAAAAATCATAGGTTTTCTATTGGAAGATGAAACTCTTATTATTTGGTCTCAACATGAAAAATGTATGAAATAACAAAATATGTATACTCCAAAAAGATTTTTGCTTTTATCTCAAAAAAGAAAAAAAAATTATTTTTTGGTCGACCGATTTTGTAGATCGGATCAAAGTGGGCGGAGCCAATCAAAAGTGTTTTCAAAATTCTTGGAAGTTTAGGTGTACTAACTGTATGCAAAACCAACTCATTCCAAACAGTTTGATTTATTTTTGTACAGTGGGTTGCTCGAAAACTACAGAGAATGTGTGTTAATTTTTGAGAATTTTCAGAAGTTTGGCATGCTAATCAATTTCAATTTTCGGATTAGCTCACCGACTACAATTATTTTAACTTTTTTAAAATTGCAACTTTCATGGGTTTTCATACAATTTATTTTCTGAAGAGTTTTGTAACGATTTTACCACTAATAAAAGTTAAATGACATGAAGAAAAAGGCCGTAAAAAAGGGTTCGCTCATAACTTATTTTTGAAACTGCTAAAATTTTTCACAGTTTCATCCATAACACAAACTAACAATTTTGGATTACAACTCAATGACTTCATTTTATTTATGAAAAGTTGATAGATTTCAAACATTATGAAATTCCAAGAAATCCCTTTAAAAATTCTTAAAAATTTAACATGTTTTCCTGTAATTTAGGCTTTCTTGATTTTTTTTCTTCATTTAATCCAGAATCGGTATTATTTGCTTGATAGGCAGTCGCGAACTTTCGAAATACTCAGCGATTACAATGATATTAACTCCACGAAATTGAAAAGTTGTAACTATGATTTTTCATTGATCTCATTCACTTTAGACATCAACATTTTTACCAAAAACCAATCAATTAGTAGTTGTTTTTTTTTGAAAAAATTCACCATGGTTGAATGAAGGAAAATTGCTTTATTTGATCATAACTTTTTGAAACCGCTAAACTTTTCTACAATTTCAGCTATATTTCAAAGAAACGTAATTTTCGTTTACAAATCCGTTGGTGTCGCGATCTCAGTGGTTATTTTATTTCTCTTTTTTTCCACCGGTTCGCAAAGCTTCCGGAGTTGTAAAATTGACAAAATCTATCGTATTCTTGACACTTGTTTCTATAGTTTAAGCTTTTTTGACATTCTTATTGTTCATCTAACCACATATTATTTACAAAAACATGCTAGACAAAATCAAACTGGATAGGAAATTTTCCATCTGCTTCACAACAAAGTTATAGATTCAGGAAAGTATTATTGGCTCATTATGTTGCGCTTCGAACATTCAAACTGAATATTTCTGTAATAGCGTTTGCATAGATTACAGTAATCAACTTTGCAACTTACCGTAATCTGTGAAACCGCCTCGAAATTTTGAAATTCTCACTGATTGTGAGTTTATTGCTATCTCTTCTCGAAAGTCATGAAAATAGCTCACAAAATTTGTTTTCAGATTACTCGACAACGAAAATTTATAAAATTGAAAAAAATGATAAAAATTTTGAAAATCG